TTTATATAAAAAATTATGATAAATCTCAATCATTAAAAGTAAAAAAATAAATTATTAAAATTTTATAAAAATATAGTGTATAAGTCTTTTGTGTTGGTGGATTTCTCCTTTATATATATATATAACACTTCTGTTTACTACGTCAAAGATAATTAGATTCCATATAATTCAAGCTATGAGTGGAAACTTTTGGGTTGTGCAGGAAATGGAAATGCGAGCAACACAACTCGAACAATCATCATTGCCGTTATTCCTTCAGTTGTAGGTATTCTGTCACTTGTCTTCTGTATTTGGATCTGTTTAAGATGCAAAAAGCCAAGAGAAATTTTTGAAAGTAAGTAACACTAATATTTTTGAAATGCACTCCTCCTACTAAGAATGTCATTAATCTTACCCATATCCCATGTATTGCTTTTGGCAGCTGCAGAAGCTGATGAAATGATCAAAACCGAGTCTTTGCAATATGACTTAGCCACTGTTCAGGCCGCAACTAATAACTTCTGTGATGAAAATAAACTTGGACAAGGAGGATTTGGAGCAGTTTACAAGGTAATGGATGTTATGAATAAAAAAACAACATTAATTATTAAACATTTGGGTGTATTGAATTAGCTTGAAATTTGGTATTCATTGAACTTAAATTTAGTTAGTACCGCACGATTTTATATACAGGGCAAGCTTCTAAATGGACAAGAAGTAGCCGTGAAAAGGTTATCTAGTGGTTCTGGACAAGGAGACTTAGAATTCAAGAATGAGGTTCTCTTAGTGGCCAAGCTTCAACACCGGAATTTGGTAAGACTATTGGGCTTCTGTTTGGAAGGAGATGAAAGGCTTCTCATCTATGAATTTGTGCCAAACACAAGCCTTGATCATTTTATTTTTGGTAGGTGCCTTTTAGATTGTGCTCGTGATTCATATTTCAATTTTGTTCATAAATAATTACACTTGAGTTTGCCTGTTTGAAGGGGTTACATCTCGATGTTCTGGTCATCTGCAAAGCCCTCAACTTCTTTAATTTCTTATCCTAGTCATTGGTCCTTTTTTTTTTATGGTTAGTGACATACTCTCATATGAACTATGAACATATAGATCCAATCAAGCGTGCACGACTAAATTGGGATAGCCGTTACAAAATCATTGGAGGCATAGCTCGTGGCCTCCTTTACCTACATGAGGATTCTCGTCTTCGAATAATTCATCGCGATCTCAAAGCAAGTAACATTTTGTTAGATGAAGATATGAACTCTAAAATTGCAGATTTTGGCATGGCAAGATTATTCGTAAGAGATGAAACACAAGGCAATACTAGTAGAATTGTGGGAACTTAGTAAGTATATATCAAACATAGTAAAACTTTAAATTGGTTCTTATACAATTAAATATCTGTTCCTTATTGACAGCATGAAAGTTACCAAGAATGGCTTTCTTATGTATTGCATTAAGAAACTACTAGAACATTAGTATCATTTTTTATATTGAGAATGATCCCAAATCATTGATATAATTGCAGTGGATACATGGCTCCAGAGTATGCAATGCATGGGCAGTTCTCAATAAAGTCAGATGTCTTTAGTTTTGGCGTGTTACTTTTGGAAATTGTAAGTGGTCAAAAAAATAGTTGTTTCCGAAATGGGGAGAACATAGAGGACCTACTAAGTTATGTAAGTCTGAAAATATAAAGTTATGTTTCTCTCTTTGGCTGAATAAAAGTTCATTCTTACCTAGATCACATTTCGATGCCTTGTGCCGTGTGCATTTGTAACTTTTTGCAGGCATGGAAAAACTGAAGGGAAGGAACAGGATTAAATCTCATAGATCCAATTTTGAGGAATGGTTCGACAGCTGAAATGATGAGATGCATCCATATTGCTTTGCTATGTGTCCAAGAAAATGTTGCGAATAGACCAACCATGGCTTCAGTTGTTCTCACACTTAGTAGCAATTCAACCAGTCTCCCAGTGCCTTCTCAACCTGCATTTTTTATGCACAGCACCATTGAATCAGATATGTCATCCTCTTTTGGCTACAATTCATGGGTATCAAACTCAAAGAGATCAAAGGAAGAATCACTCCCCTTGACAAATAATGAAGTTTCAATCACAGAGTTATATCCTCGATAGTTTGAGATTCAAAGGTACAATTAGATTCACATTGTCAATCCCGTTCAGAATAATGCTAGAATTCACTTATTAGATGTACTGTTATCTAATACCAGTTCGTTCTTTGTAAGCAAGACTACTTCCAAGCACGGAATACAGTGTATAATTTGATTCGTGTTCTGGTTTCCTTCTAGTATAATTTTATACAGTGAATACTTGGACACTGGTTTCTTTCTTTTGTGCAAAATTACTTCCATTTACTTATTCAGTCTAACATTTTATTTGGTCTTGGCTTGTTCCATCTCAATCAAATTTACCTGTGTAAGGTTTTCGTAAGCCACTACTAGAAAAATGACGTATACGGACCGATCATATACGGACCGAATAGTGTCGGTCTGAAAACAAAAATATACGGACCGATATCGGTCTGGATATGTTAATGAACATATTCGGACCGGTATCGGTCCGTATATTTTCGGCGGACGCCACAGTAC